ACGTTTAAATGAAATATTATTGTGCATTCATTCATATTTACTCATGCGATTTTAGTGGAAAGCCTGTTCTCTTCGTCAACGCACTACCTCTCATCAAGCCTTACTGGAGCGGTTCTACTCCTGGTGCTGCTGTGGACGTGACATTCTGTTCTACTGCTTCCTATGTACGGGTCTTTGTTACGGGTGGTCGTGGGCATACGGCGCTTTACATCTATGAATGCCTGTGATATTTCACATTGTTTGTATTATATGTATATTCAATAAAAATACTTCTCTAATTGTTGTTGAAATACTGAGCGCAGATAGATGTAACCTCAGCAAGGATCATCAATGATTTTAATGTTGTGCAGTTTGGAAAATTTCGTGGTAACATCTCAGGTGAGCAACTTTCGAACGAAAACTTAATGACACAGAGTGCGATGAGAAAAGAGGCGGAGCTAATCGGTGACGTCATCACTCAAAGCATGTCTTCACATTTTCTCTGACTCTCAGCCGTTGCACTCACTGTCTTTAAAAGACCGGCGACAATGAGATTTCTTTGCGATCCCGAAAGCAAGCGTTCCAGTGTGAAAAAAAAACATCTACGTCAATAACCATGCCAAGAATTTACTACAGAAACTTTCTATGTCTATCATCTTGCTGAGCTCGCCTGAATATAGCTGAAATCTTTCAATGGCCGAAGAATAATCCCGGGCCAAGGTTGGAAAAGTTCAATTTTCCGCTCCAGAAATAGTACCCTTTGCGGTAGATAAGCCCGAGATCCCCGGCGCTCTATTTTCTGCTCGTCTGCGCTCTCCAACCGAGAAATATGCGTTGAACAACGTTAATGCCAAAAACGAATGTCATATTCGTAATCAGGGCACCAAATAACCCCTATACAGAAGTTTACACCGATTTTGGTGAAAACAAGGGTCGTGACAAGGTGACGCCAACTGGCGCCAGATGGCGCCACCGCTAAAAATGAATGTCGTTTTCGTAATCAGCATATCGAATTACCCCTATGGGCAAGTTACGGTTGTCTCTAGATGTACGCAAGTGCACTGCACCAGCGGAGGTGTTTTTACGTGATATCGGCGCGGGCTTATCTACCGGAAATTAGGCACAATAATTTGGGTGTTTAAAGTTGTATTAATACCTCAGGTAGCTGCAATCGAAAACCCTGTTATATCCCCATAAAATTACATGTATTACCCGACGGAAGCACTTTCACGTACAATTTATGTAAAATCCTGAGTGTGAGAGATACGCAAGTGCCAACTGGCCACCATAGGTATTACAAGGCGCTCGGTATTAACCTGCTGTGGTTAGCAATTTGAAGTCGCGCGGTTCTGAATCTCGAGCGTCTTCAACATCTGCGTCCTCGGAAAATTCTTGCATTCTTTTCCAACATTTGATTTGTCAGTTGTGATCAAAGACCTCACACAAAGTTTCACGCAAGAAGATTCACTTAACGAAGAGGAAGAAACTTACGAAAACCACACTCTATGGACGGTCGAGGGCAAGTCGGCGGGACAAGGGAATACATATACTCTATTTCGGAAGACGAGAAGAAAATCGAGTGCAGACCACACATCATAAGAGACGACGGCCAAAGAAGAAGCGGCTTTTTTGACCTGCACTCGGACTCGCCTTCCGAAATGAAGGGTAGAAAAAAGAGCGCCTCGGGGCGGCTACGTATCAGGCGACGCAATGAAAGAATCGGGTTAAAGCGTGCGATTTTGGAGAGTAGAGACAAATCGATCGATAGAATAGGATGCAGTAGAAGTGTGAGATGTGAATGCAATAAGTCAAAAGGCCAGAAAGAGTTTCTAGTGACGGCACTCCGAGAATCCAAGTGGAAGCATTCCCGAAGTGCCGTCTCTAGGAATGGCATCTGTGGCAGATGTACGGTGGAAATTTGAATGCGTAACACATTCTTCGGGTTTTTCGAATTGATCATAAAAACTTTTTTGTTCGCATCTATCTCGAGTGATGGGTCTCAAGCCATCATTTATGAGATAGAATCATGATTTTTCGTGAGCGATTCCTTTAGGTGAGGATTTTCTACGCTCTAACTTCTCCGTTGCTGAAGGCACGGTACTGGTGTCAATTAGGGCACAGAGCAGGTGAGATTAGAGCAACTGCATTTCAAGCTTAGGGCTTCTGATAACTGAGAGTGAGTTTTCTCCAAAATCAGATGAAAAATGCTTCAAGAAGCGGAGGTAAAGATGATGGGCCGGTAAAAGGTCATGCACACTGGCAGCCAATTATGTTATGTGTATCTAACGCGAATCTAAGCGCTAGAAAGCTTACTTAGTAGCGCTTAACCCCCTATTTTGACTTTCGCATGCACATCGAAATAAAATTTTTAGGGAGGAATCCCCTACGAGTACTACGTGCCAATTATATACCCAAATGTTTCAAATTTGGGAAACGTGGCTAAAGTTCGTATCGGAGAGGAAATTTTTGAGCAAATGACTTTGATGAATGAAGCAACTGAATAGTTTGAGATGTAGCAGCACTTGGCATGATCCTTCCCTTTTGCACACGGTCTCATTTGATCGATGCAAATGGTCTCCTGCGATCGTGGTTGCATATTTTTGGCCAACTCTTAGCGAATTACGGGTTTTTGAACTTTTTCTCGGGAATGATCTATTTTTCGACAACTGCGGTCTTTTCGTGAGGGAACGGTGAA